GAAGCAGAGCAGACAAAATTTTGTGAACTATCCAAATTTGTCTTTCCCACACACCTGCCATGTGTGAGGCTGGGGGGGATAAAAGATCCACTGTATGTCTCTCTCCAGCATAGAATTGTAGATCTTTGTCTGATCCAACTCCTGAATAGCTTGTCTAAGCTCTTGATGTGCCCCTTTGAAGTTTGTCCCGTTGTCTGATCTATTAATCTCTGTTTTCCTCTGATGTGCCTCGAATCTTATCAATACATTGATTATGGAATTTATATCTCACTGTTAGGCACATAAACAAGCATCCATATCTTTTACCAAACTTCTGCCCCTTTTCACAAGAAATGGGCCAAAATAGTCTCTCTTTTTTTGTTTTGTTTGTTGTTTAACGCCGCACTCAGCAATATTCCAGCTATATGACGGCGGTCTGTAAGAAATTGAGTCTGGAACAGACAATCCAGTGATTGACATCATGAGCATCAATCCATGCAATTGGGATCGATAACATGCATCAACCAAGTCAGCGAGCCTGACCACCCAATCCCGTTAGTCGCCTCTTATGACAAGCATAGTCACCTTTTCGGACAAGCATGGGTTGCTGAAGACCTATTCTACCCCAGATCTTCATGGGTCCCAAAATAGTCAACCCCAACAGAAGTGAATAGCGGGTTATAAGGAGTCACCTGTTCCTTGGGTAAACTTGCCATTTGCTGTGAACGCTGGATGCTGTGATGTCTCCGACAATGGACAAACTTCCGCAATGTCCTATCTATTGTGGTACATGCGTTGATAAGCCATAACTTCTGCTGCATGTGAGACAAAACATGTTCTCGTCCTGAATGTTCAAGGATCTCATGGTTGTGAGATTATATCAGATTTTCAACATGATGATTCTTCGGAAAATAGGGTGTTCAGATTCTTCTGGAATGGGTGATATACTCAAACCACCGCCAAAGCACAAAACACCAACACTATTCAAAACAGGCTCAAGTTTGTAGAGTGTACTTGATTTTACTTACTACTGAAAATGACATGTCTGCAAATACTTCTGAACCTCAACTTCTGCAATCTTCAGCTCTTTTACTGTCAGATGATGTGGGGAAACATTTTAATCAAATTTTGTACCCTTTGTTTTTAGAAGCAACCACAGTTTGAATCTATCTCTGCGCAACAGTTGATCAATTCTAACTGCCATGACAACAGCAGATACTTCAAGCCAATGTACTGTCAGTTGTCAGGGATTTATTCATGATGTAAAGCAGAACTGTCATACTATCTGATCAGAAAATGGACTGATCAATTTCCAATCTCAGTTCTCAGTTGATCAATTCTAACTGTCATGACAGCAGCAGATAATTCCAGTCAAGGTACTGTCTGTTGCTTCAAAGGCGCAAGTCAAGCCTTTCCCATCACAAAAGCTCAATGGATCTGTCCTTCACTCTAGACTATTCGCAGATAGGATACTGTGCCATAACCAAACAATGATGCATCAGCAAAGTGATGCAAATCACACTCAAAGTCTTCAAAACTCTAAGGGTATTCAACATCGGTCAGCCATGAAAGTCTCAATCATTGGCAATTTATCCAGCCATGTTCAGGCATTGTCTTGTTCCAGTGGCTCATCCCATTCTTTGTGTTGTTGGCATTCACTTTGACAGATAATCTTTGCTCATAGGTTCAGAAACTGAAACAATGATGCTCATTCTACCTCTCTTGGGGGTTGGTTTTGTTTTACAGGTGATTCGAAAACCAGGCGTATCATATTCTGTGCCCTATTTTACTCCAAGAGCTTGATCTTGAGGTGGAAGGATGCTAGTAAGGTCAATGTTCTTTATTTCTTTTGCTCTCTCTTCACAAGGAATTGAATCCAACACAGTTATAACTGTTTCCTGATCAAACTCATTAGCATTATCTTCTGCTGTACGCCTAACTGCATATGAAGAGCAACTAGGACCCCATACCCCACTGAATAGATGTATAGTTCGATATATTTGAGGAGGTTTAGTTCTGTCCATATTGGGCCACCATAAAAATCTCTTTCCACTAACCTTCACTTGGTGAAACATGGGCTCTTTGTCCCATAAAAGCCACTCGGTATTGACAAAATCTCAGAAGTACACCAGTACGTTTTGTTGGTGATACCAGGTCCCTGTTAAACTTCAGTGTTTTAAATTGTACCTTCACACTGTGCTGAACAATCAAACACAATTCTTCGCTTGTCAGGCTTTTTTTGAGTAACTACAGCATGATTTGGAATGTACCAAACTGGCCTTCCTTCTGCAATGATTTCATCATTGGGCACCTTGTCTGCATATCCCCTTTCCAATAAGTCTGTAACTCAACCCCCCTAACTCTGGATTATCAGATTTGAATTGAATGTCCATTTTACAATGTCCATTATCAATTTCTACACTTTGATCATCATGAGCCCGAGTCCATCGGCTTCCACTATAGTGCAACAGTCTCGAATGCTTGTGTGTACATCCATCCACACATTTGCTTGGCTATAAACAATTGTATGACATATGTTGATTGGAGAAACAGTTATGGCACAAATGCTTCTTAGCAACAAACTCATGCCATTTTTCTGGTCTCATCTTTTTGAATTCTTCCGAACTGTGGTTGCCATCCATTTCCTCTGTAACCAGCTTTGGTTTGAATATCAAAGTTAGAAGCAACATTCCCCTTTGAATTCTTCTTTGTTTCCATTTTATCATCTCTTGAAATACTGATTGTTTCAAAGACTGGGTTATTTGCTTCCTCCGCAGCAGTTTCTATGAATCCAGCCAGGTGTGTAATATCAGGGTAATATCCAGTAGCCTTCAGAACACCAACAGCTTCTTCCGCCATCTTCCTTGAAGAAAGGGCAGTAACACAATCTTTCTCATTTGCATTTGATTATCAATTTTGTTGCGCCAACCCACTGTTGTCAATGTCACAACACAATTCTGTACATTGTCTGCATATAGTCGCCAAACCTCAGACAGGATCTTTCAGTAACCTTCTGTATCCAGGCCTTCAAGATGACCAACTGATTTCCAAAGGACTCAATTCAACGGTCTCCTTGCTTCAGAATACCCAACTTCAGTTTGTTTTACATTACTGCACAACATTCAATGAGAGATCGCCATCAAATGTCATTAGTTCTGTCTTAAGCAACTGAAGAAGGTTAAGCATCTGCCTGAATCACTATTGCTCACCACTATTATGACTATCAGACTCATCTCACTTCTCGTCAAAGCATGTCAAACATTTGTAAACTCACTGCACTACACACAGTCTCATCATTTAGCATAACCGAATCTATGCAGTACTGCATTGAGCTACTAAACTGTCCATTGACACATACGATAAGTGGGGTCTTATGAGTTTCATGGTGAACATGAAACTGGTGATAGAGAAAATGGCAGAGCAAATGTTATCTATGTTTTGTTTAGTCCTAAAATCTGTGTGTTTTCCTCTTAGATTTGTAGTCTGTTTTTTATTCAAAATTCGTTGTAACTATGGGACATAGTGGGAGTAAACAGGTGGATGGAAAACTCGTCATGATAAATGCATACTTGACTTTCAGTCAGGTGAGCTAAAAATAGTATATTCTACTCATTAAAAGTAATGTATAATACAACACTGTCATCAGCCACTACGGGATATGTAATCAAATTTGGTAAAATCCAAATATCTTTTTACATTTGTATACTTATCCTGAATTACTCCTTCCTTAATGCATTTACTGCTTAACTTATGACAAAGCTGAAAAGCTTGAAAAGTCATAGACAGTACTTCCCTGATACAGGTAAAACTGGCTCTGGACAGGACAAGTTCATTATTTGCGTTGGAGGTTAGGTACCTTCTGGGCTACTACCAGAGGGCCAAAGATACGAATGCCTTTGACATCTTCGAGTGCCACATCACGAGGATAATGGCTGGCGAAAACCGCGTAGGACCTCGAAAAACATCCTTCCATGATTTCTCTAATAGTACAGTTGCTATGTTGAGCAATGTTTGAGCATAAGTTACATAAAACTTGAAATAGTAGTTGAAGTGGACTTGAACATACCGATGACAAACACAAAGTTTCAAATTAGCAAACATTTACAGGTTTTTAAAGTGTATCAAAATACAGGCCTGAAACTCTATATAATGCAAAAGGCTAAAGGTATTTAGATATACATGAAATGTTAATACAATGCCGAGAATTGCAAACAATAATGACTACCTCGCTCGCAGGTAAACAAAATGTGACCGAAATTCAAAAAAAGACACAGTTTTATCTAGTGATGTCAAGTTTTTGTGTGGTTTCCAAAACAATATAGCACACACAACTCATTGAAAATAGGTCACAGTGACCTACGTCTGATAGCAAAAGCTTGTGATAACTTTTTATACCTAAGACTGTCTGCAGTAAAAAATATTTGAGTGGAAATGGAAAACATACTTTACAAATGACCTTCAGTGTGACCTTGACCTTATACATAGGTCACTCAAAACCTTTCAGACCCCAGCCCTGCCCCAAAATATGACATGTCAAAGCACTGAATGGTTTCAAAAAGTAACTGGCAGTACCAAATTCAGACAAACCCTGAAGGCATCCCTATTACATGTTACCTTAAATACAAGCAACAGCCACTAATAGGTTGTCAAGAAAACTCCTGACGTCACAGTAGATGAATTGATCATAATACAGAAGACATTCAAATGTTTTTATGCCCTAAGAATGACATGTACAGTCGACTGCCGGTTTAGACAGAGTGGGGACTGCTTGTCAAAACAAATCATGGGTTCAGAAGTTTGGCTTAGTACAGTACAAGTCTTGCAAGAATATCTCAGTCTGTCAGCATAATGTGGGACAAAAGACTTAAGTGCAGCACATCATAGAAATTAACTGCTCTGGTCAATCTAATTAAAATCAAATCTTTTGCTCTGATTTGAAACCTGCTTTTGTAAATGTCGGACAACTTCTCCATACAATTCCTCAAACTCCCAAACAACCAAATGCTACAGTACCAACTTACATCTTGTGTAACAGCATGCAACAGGCCGCTGTAGGAAATGTTGGCATTGAAACGAGCCACAGCCTCCTCATATGTCATCCCAACTGAAACATGTAATGAAGAAACTCACTTAAAAACAGACAATCACAGTCTTTAAATACATCATAAAAATTCATATTGTGTGCATTTTTTACAATTTTCAATTGAACATATAAACATTCCAACTTGGGTAATCATAGATGTGTTACATAACTTGAACGGATGCCATTGAAAGCTGTGACCTACATGAAAGGGCATTATTTGAATGACATGAGGGTTATCAAGGTGCCATAAGATGGAATATTGTTGTTCAAGATCTTTCATATGACAGTTACCTTGACATATGACTTAAGTAAAATGAATGTCCATAGTCATTGAAAAGAAATTTGCTATTAGAATGTCTGAAGTTGTTTACCTGGTAAATTCAATTCAACATGGTCAAATGGAATAAGAAATTCCCTTATATCTGCATAGACCATGTATCATGCATGAATTATCAAAGACACGTACATTGAAAAATTTGCAAAATACATAGTTTTCGATAGTCACTATACATGATTCCAAGCATGCTTTTTCATTTCTATTTCATCTTAACTGCCAAGCAGTGATGAGAAGAATTTAAGGGAGAAGTTTATTGTGGTTATTTTTGGATTGGAAACTCAAACAAAAGTAAATGCTACGAGAAATAGTTTATAAGGCATTAACTATTAACACAATTGCTTAAAATGACATCCACACAAACAAGTCTAAATTTTAAGATTTTTGTAACAGCCATTCCCATACTCATCTCAGAGATGACACAATCAAGGCAGACTGCACTGGAATTGTGTTTTGGAATAAAGGTGAACAAAACAGCTATATGAAGATCTAATTATTAAATGTTTTGAGCATACCTGGGGGTGACTGAATGTGCTTCATGTGCTGGGACTCCACCTCCTCATCTACCGGTACAGTGAAGGGGCCTAGAAACAAAGACGTACAGAAGCTTGCCTTTATGCGGTGACATTAACCTTGACAGGTGACGATGTGACAACCATACAACCAACACTGTATGGATTCATTATTATTTTACCAATATGTTTTTTTTTTTATAGCTCTCTTGAATGACCTCATATTTCATTGTCTAAACAGAAGAAAATAATAAAAAATGATTACTAAGTTTGCCAGATGTCTGATATATATCTGATATTGCAAAGTTGCAGCTCAACATAAAGCATCGATCAAAAGCTAGAGAAACAGAAATTGCTCTCATTCCATGAGCTCTGCTAAGTGTGTGAGTTGGGTTTATTGACTCTTTGAACACTGTTCAAGTTATATCACAGCATGTCAGCTTAATGTGGGAGGAAAGCCCAGAGTGCTGCAAATCTCAGACGTTTACCACTTTGGTGAAACCCACAAGTGCGAATCGGGATTCGTACCCATGATCATAGGTTACTGGTGTGCCCAAGTGATGCAACTTCCACAGCGAATTGTGTTGCCTTAGATGACTGGGCCATCCGTCCCCAGAGCTATGATTGAAGAAGCAGAAAATCTGTCATCCAGGGCAATGATGGCCCAATGATGGCCCAATTTAGTCAATTTCAGATACCAATTCAAGGCATGAAATGGACATAAATACCTATCCCGTACCAGAGTAAGAATCCAAGGAGGACACAAAGCTTCCTGCCAGCACATCCTCTTCAAAGCAAGGGCATGGAAGCTCACCTCTGCACTAAGCTGAAGCTAAGGCCAAGAAGAATGATTTCTCTAATGACACAAGCATCAAAGAAGCTGCATGACAGGTATCCAGTGGGGCTTTCGTAACAGATGGTAAATCGCAAAACATATAGTCATATAGTCAAGCAAAAGTAAACAGTGAGAATTTCCATTCATGCTTGGTCTGAAGTTCCAAGATGTATTCCATTGACTCCTCAACCATCAGACAAGATCCATTTCTCTTGACTATGCTAATCCTGCCAGCACTTTGCAACCGATACACTCTCTCAGTTGATTTGCATCTCAGAAGAAGAGCCATAATTGGAATCCATCCTGGGGTAACACTCACTACTGACTGTTTTGAGACTGGTATTCAAGGAGTTCAGAAATTTGGAAAATTTATAATGGAGTGTTGTAGGCTTGTCCTTGTCCAGCTGAGGGCTTGCCCCTTGACGACTCTGAGTACTGTCTAAGCCCTCATCAGGTGTGGTATACTCGAAATCCGAAAAATCAGGTACCAGACTGTACTGAAACTTCATCTTCCATTCCTAGAACTGCACCAATTAGCTGTGCCATACCCAAACCAGTTATCAATCTGAAGACAAAATCTGATCTGATCAGAGGAGAACACAATGCAAGCTGAGCCTGGATGGGAACAACTTGCCTGACAAGAGGAGAGTTCCCAGACCTGGTCAACCTGCCTGACAAGAGGAGTGTTCCCAGACCTGGTCAACCAGCCTGACAAGAGGAGGGATTCCAGACCTGGTCAACCTGCCTGACAAGGGGAGAGATTCCAGACCTGGTCAACCTGCCTGACAAGAGGAGAGATTCAAGACCTGGTCAACCTGCCTGACAAGGAGAGAGTTCCCAGACCTGGTCAACCTGCCTGACAAGAGGAGTGTTCCCAGACCTTGTCAACCAGCCTGACAAGAGGAGAGATTCAAGACCTGGTCAACCTGCCTGACAAGGGGAGAGATTCCAGACCTGGTCAACCTGCCTGACAAGGAGAGAGTTCCCAGACCTGGTCAACCTGCCTGACAAGGTGAGGGATTCCAGACCTGGTCAACCTGCCCGACAAGAGGAGGGATTCCAGACCTGGTCAACCTGCCTGACAAGGTGAGGGATTCCAGACCTGGTCAACCTGCCTGACAAGAGGAGGGATTCCAGACCTGGTCAACCTGCCTGACAAGAGGAGTGTTCCCAGACCTGGTCAACCTGCCTGACAAGAGGAGAGAGATTCCAGACCTGGTCAACCTGCCTGACAAGGGGAGAGATTCCAGACCTGGTCAACATGCCTGACAAGGGGAGAGATTCCAGACCTGGTCAACCTGCCTGGCAAGAGGAGAGAGATTCCAGACCTGGTCAACCTGCCTGACAAGGGGAGAGATTCCAGACCTGGTCAACCTGCCTGACAAGGGGAGAGATTCCAGACCTGATCAACCTGCCTGACAAGAGGAGAGCTCCGAGACCTGGTCAACCTGCCTGACAAGAGGAGTGTTCCCAGACCTGGTCAACCTGCCTGACAAGAGGAGAGTTCCCAGACCTGGTCAACCTGCTTGACAAGGGGAGAGATTCCAGACCTGGTCAAGCTGCCTGACAAGAGGAGGGATTCCAGACCTGGTCAACCTGCCTGACAAGAGGAGAGTTCCCAGACCTGGTCAACCTGCCTGACAAGAGGAGAGATTCTGAGACCTGGTCAACCTGCCTGACAAGAGGAGTGTTCCCAGACCTGGTCAACCTGCCTGACAAGAGGAGAGTTCCCAGACCTGGTCAACCTGCCTGACAAGGGGAGAGATTCCAGACCTGGTCAACCTGCCTGACAAGAGGAGGGATTCCAGACCTGGTCAACCTGCCTGACAAGAGGAGTGTTCCCAGACCTGGTCAACCTGCCTGACAAGAGGAGAGTTCCCAGACCTGGTCAACCTGCCTGACAAGGTGAGAGATTCCAGACCTGGTCAACCTGCCAGACAAGAGGAGAGTTCCCAGACCTGGTCAACCTGCCTGACAAGAGGAGAGATTCCAGACCTGGTCAACCTGCCTGACAAGAGGCGAGATTCCAGACCTGGTCAACCTGCCTGACAAGAGGAGAGAGATTCCAGACCTGGTGAACCTGCCTGACAAGGGGAGAGATTCCAGACCTGGTCAACCTGCCTGACAAGGGGAGAGATTCAAGACCTGATCAACCTGCCTGACAAGAGGAGAGTTCCGAGACCTGGTCAACCTGCCTGACAAGAGGAGAGATTCCAGACCTGGTCAACCTGCCTGACAAGAGGAGAGTTCCCAGACCTGGTCAACCTGCCTGACAAAAGGAGAGAGATTCCAGACCTGGTCAACCTGCCTGACAAGAGGAGTGTTCCCATACCTGGTCAACCTGCCTGACAAGGGGAGGGATTCCAGACCTGGTCAACCTGCCTGACAAGAGGAAAGATTCCAGACCTGGTCAACCTGCCTGACAAGAGGAGTGTTCCCAGACCTGGTCAACCTGCCTGACAAGAGGAGTGTTCCCAGACCTGGTCAACCTGCCTGACAAGAGAGATTCCAGACCTGGTTAACCTGCCTGACAAGAGGAGAGATTCCAGACCTGGTCAACCTGCCTGACAAGAGGAGAGTTCCCAGACCTGGTCAACCTGCCTGACAAGAGGAGAGATTCCAGACCTGGTTAACCTGCCTGACAAGAGGAGAGTTCCCAGACCTGGTCAACCTGCCTGACAAGAGGAGAGATTCGAGACCTGGTCAACCTGCCTGACAAGAGGAAAGTTCCCAGACCTGGTCAACCTGCCTGACAAGGTGAGAGATTCCAGACCTGGTCAACCTGCCTGACAAGAGCAGAGATTCCAGACCTGGTCAACCTGCCTGACAAGAGGAGAGTTCCCAGACCTGGTCAACCTGCCTGACAAGAGGAGAGTTCCCAGACCTGGTCAACCTGCCTGACAAGAGGAGAGATCCCAGACCTGGTCAACCTGCCAGACAAGAGGAGAGATTCCAGACCTGGTCAACCTGCCTGACAAGAGGAGTGTTCCCAGACCTGGTCAACCTGCCTGACAAGGAGAGAGTTCCAAGACCTGGTCAACCTGCCTGACAAGAGGAGAGATTCCAGACCTGGTCAACCTGCCTGACAAGAGGAGGGATTCCAGACCTGGTCAACCAGCCTGACAAGAGGAGGGATTCCAGACCTGGTCAACCTGCCTGACAAGAGGAGACTTCCCAGACCTGGTCAACCTGCCTGACAAGGAGAGAGTTCCCAGACCTGGTCAACCTGCCTGACAAGAGGAGAGATTCCAGACCTGGTCAACCTGCCTGACAAGAGGAGTGATTCCAGACCTGGTCAACCTGCCTAATAAGGAGAGAGTTCCCAGGCCTGGTCAACCTGCCTGACAAGGAGAGAGTTCCCAGACCTAGTCAACCTGCCTGACAAGAGGAGAGATTCCAGACCTGGTCAACCTGCCTGACAAGAGGAGAGATTCCAGACCTGGTCAACCTGCCTGACAAGAGGAGGGATTCCAGACCTGGTCAACCTGCCTGACAAGAGGAGAGTTCCCAGACCTGGTCAACCTGCCTGACAAGAGGAGAGATTCCAGACCTGGTCAACCTGCCTGACAAGAGGAGGGATTCCAGACCTGGTCAACCTGCCTGACAAGAGGAGAGCTCCCAGACCTGGTCAACCTGCCTGACAAAAGGAGAGAGATTCCAGACCTGGTCAACCTGCCTGACAAAAGGAGAGAGCTCCCAGACCTGGTCAACCTGCCTGACAAGAGGAGGGATTCCAGACCTGGTCAACCTGCCTGACAAGGGGAGAGATCCCAGACCAGGGCCCACTTGCACGAAGCGATCTTAGCGCTACAACTATTGTAAGCCTATGTTAAAGTATGGGAGTTACGATCATCTTAGCGCTAAGATCGCTTTGTGCAAGTGGGCCCTGGTCAGCCTGCCAGACGAGAGGAGGGATTCCAGACCTGGTCAACCTGCCTGACAAGAGGAGAGTTCCCAGACCTGGTCAACATGCCTGACAAGGGGAGAGATTCCAGACCTAGCCAACCTGCCTGACAAGGGGAGAGATTCCAGAAGAATCCATGAAGTGTGAATTTTATATATGACGTCACATAAGTTTGTGAAGAGGTGCATTTCGAGTTGAACGGGAGCATGAGGATGAAATGTATACTTACTGCTGTTAAAATGAAGTTTATGGAACAGTTATGGAAATACCCCGATGCAAGAACCCTCCCATGGCACTAGCAAATTGGGAATATCAACGTTTTATGAATGTGTTGCTTGTGTTTAGATAATCGCAAACCAATTCGGACGATGTGGAATGGACTGGTAGGAATTGAACGGAGTGCTCTGAAACTTGTGTGTTTTTGTTTTAATTTTCAACGTCAGGGTGTGTTATATTTGGAGTTTGTGATTTGTCGTGTGTGCTGTAATACTTTTCTTGACTGGTGTTTCTTGTCACCTGATAGGACCTACTGTATGACCTAATGCCATCTTCATTTCTGTTCCCCGTCCTTCCTCATGTGCTTCCGCTTCTCAGCCGAGAATGCACGGATAAGGTCAGCCAACTCAGAAACCGGAATAGTAATTTCGTCTACGTGTATTTTCTTGTCCCCGATGACCAATCGGTAAAACAGGTAGGCAAGTTTTTTGGTATTTTTTAATTTAAGTTCCTTACCTTTTTATGTCTTATTTTTTTAAAAGCTAGATTAATTTTATTTGTCTTACCATTGAACATTTTCAGCGCCTATTAATTTAATGTTTTTCATTTTAGATTTGCTGTGTCTTGGTTTCTCAAAATCTTGGGAGGTTTTTTTTTCCAATACGATAGTGAATCGGGTTTTAGTTTGGGATTGATCAGGGGCAGTCGCTTTGATCTGAGGGGCGGCCTCATTTAAGCAGGGTAGATCGAGTCTACAACATTGTTTTCATTCGCAATTGTCTTGGCGCTAGATCCCTGTCATTTCCGAAAACAAGGCATGAAAGTCAATATCGCTCAATAAATCAATTTCGTTCACCTCAGTAATTTTACAGAATTCATTTTCTTCATTTGCATTATTAGTATTGATAGATAGCCATTCCGTATCCAAGTCACCGTAAGGACAATCCATTTTGTTTCATGTAGCAGCTAGACGACATTAAACACCAGAACCAAAGCATTTATTTATTTATAAGTCAGATGAAATGTTACAAGAAAAGGCAAAAATACTAAATCAATTATACTGCTGATAAATGCAGGGATTAAAAAGAAAATAGAAAAACGAGTTGATGGTATACACCGACTGAGAATTCGGGGAAAACCCCGAAAATAAGTTCTGGTAAATTATTCACATCGTGTGAACTTTTCTGTCCGTATCAGATCACATGACTAGCCCTTCAGCCAATCAGCATGAAAGAAACAGTGTAAACTTTAAAGTATCAAATTGTACGTTAGTAACCTCAATCACTTTTTTTTCTTAGTGGGAAGACTTTGCAATCACCATGAAAAGCGGAAAAGCAGATCTACATCTTCAATACTCAACCCAAATAATCCTGTCCAACAAGTACACATTTGAACAATTTAACAAATACACTTACCAAGCCTGAATCCCCTGTCAGTATGGGTCATCTTCACACAGACATCTCTGTTGCCAGATGCACGAACACCATCAAGTAAAGATGCTATCAATGCATCTCTGAAAACAAAAAATATTAAGTAAAATCACATGCACATGTATGGGAATTGAAAATGACCTTCTCATAGTCAACAACTGCATTTACTTTACAGGTGAAATAGTACCATGTCTGGTGCGGAAAACAGACACCCAATAGAGTACAAGATTAAAACAGAAAGTTCCATGCCTCTGATCCAGGGATTTATTTAGGCCTGGTCAGGGGCCAGTATTCAGCCCCAAGTCTGCAACAAATATCAGTAAAAATTCCCAAACTGGAATGATAAATTTCCAAATTATATCAGGAAAAGAGGGAGTAACTTTGAAACAGAGTCTTATAACGTTTACTCCATAAAGTTACAGTCATAAATACTTTCAGATTAATGAAATCACTTCTGTGTTTGGGAAAACATATGCTCAACATTGTACAAGACATATCTTTGAAAAGAAAATCTCATGCCTCCAGCCAACCTAATAAAGAAGTTGTTAGCACTTCCAGCCTAATGACTTGAACCTTCAATCTCAGCCAGAAAACATTGAACTGAAAGCATATGTCATTACAAATGTAGAGTCACTGCAGCACATTGTAAATACACTCTGAACTATTCTGCTTGCATGAATGTGTGAATAACCTTGACACATTGCAAGTGTAGAAGAAAGTGCTTAAATGTTATTAATCACTGAAAATGGTTTTGTATCATGTTCATTCATGTTTTGGCAATAGGTTTCTGATGACACTGACCTTCACGGTGGTCATCAAAGCTCTTCTCTTCCCCTCTTACAGGGGGACACTTCATCATAATGGGGCATTAGATTGAAACAATGGATTCTGATACAGCTGACAGATTACAAGTTACTGACCCTTTTTCAGTTATTTTCAGATCTTCAAAACAAAACGTAATTCTCATTGGCAGCTTAATGATGATCTTTTTATTAGAACCTACCGATCTGTTGAAAGATAGTATCGTATGGCACCTTTCACATACTCCACAGAAAATTTTTGTGGATTCTCTTGGTCACGAACAATTGCAAAAATCTGAAAATAAATATAAAAACAATTTGGTATTTAGGGATGAAGAAGAGGTTGCATATTTGATACAAGTTGTACATGATCTATTTAGTGAATTTAACCTTCTTGGCAGGTCACTTGAAATCTTATCACTTCAATGCAGAATCCTAAGGATGATATGTACTAAGTTTTAAGTGGCGATACCTTTTTTTTAATAAATCACCATTAGAGAGCATTAGGCCACGTATATAAGTTATTCCCATGTGCTAAACAATACATATAAACCAAACATAAAATTAAAAAATGTTTTTGCATTTTTTAACATAACAAAAAATATTGCATGTGTAGCATTGTATAACTGCATTAAATTTCTGCTATTCATAGACACACATGACTTCACTTGCTTGATAACTGTGTTAGAACCTACACTGAAACGTCGCTCCTAATTGTAATAAAGAAGTTGTTCATCCATATATCTTATCCTTACTTACTCATAGACCATGTCTTGTAAAATGTGAAAATGACCCAAGGACATTAATACCAAATTCAATTAAGGTAATGTGAAATGAGTAACTTTGCTGTAGGTTATAATGAAAGGGCCCACATGATATATATATAAATGATACACATGACTTATAAAAAGTCTTCACACTGGCCTTAAGGATGACATGTAAGAGATTTTCAATGTGTGGCCCAATGCACCCAAAGAAAGACAAGTACTAACAGAAAGTGATTCTCAAGGTATCAATTAAAATCACATAAACAGAACATATAATATGAGTGTCTGTGACACACAATATTAACAACACAAGTGCAGACATTATAATATTTCCTTAGCGAGAGTGAGAGAAATATTACAACTTCTGCGCAATTGTCGTAAATATAGTACCACATGGATATGATATCTTATTTTTTACTATAGCAAATATAATTTTTTGAAAACGAAAAGTGGCTAACCTTAATCTGTATACACTAAGAAAACAGTGCAAAGCTGTTTGGTATTTTGAATAAGAATAACAAAAATATCATGACTGCAAAGTTTTGAAAGTTTCACCAATATCAAAGTGTAGCAGGGATGAATTCAGTGATTACATATTGTGTACTTAGGTGTATATCTAATCATTTTAATATTATTTCAGGTTCTAGTGATCTGGAAGACGACGACTTGTTCATATGTAGGTAAGTTGCAATCAGTTGTCAGTCCGGCAGCCTCTTGTCTTTGTGTTTACAGCACAGATCTCAAGCTCCTTCCCAGCATGTGACACCTTCGCCAGGATGGGTGTGGCCATTAAAAGAATTTTGAACCCTTTAACCCCAAATGTGGTGACATTTGTACTTTTGTTTAAGTCTTTGAGAATCATAGTGAATTTTTAAAAGGTTTACAGCTTATCATGTTTCCCAGATGAATTTACCTTTTTATTTAATTGATCAGATTGGTTCGAGACTGCAGACGAATGGAAAATCAACCAACTTCCCCCTTACATTCTTACTATGTTAATTATATGATAGTTATAATGAAACAGAAATTCAAATTGACAAACAAAGAAAAGTATTCTGCGTCACAGCATTCATTACTTGTTTGTAAACATAACGGTCAGTCAGCTGCGAGTTCAACTCCAAGCATGGTTGCCACCTATCACAGTGGAAGTTTTGACTGGTGGCAGTGATAGAATAGATTGCTCTGCGAATGGGCTATCGCTGTGAGGAGCTTGCACAGATCTGTGTCACAGGGCTGGTTCATTTTAGGCTTAAGGGTATTAGATCTAATTGGGTTCATCTATTTTTGTATCAATGTTTTGGTATCTTAACAACAGCCCAGGCCAAGCTTTTCCAGTTGATTGGAACTCTTTCAAACATACATGTCATTCACCCTGTTACTAATTAGTTGCACCACACTGTCACTGCATGATGACTTTACTCAAGATTTAGAGTTATCCAACTCAAAGCTTAGTGCTTACACATTTGGTTATATCACATTGCATATAACACACATAAATAATTTCATGATCACCATAATGTAAGAATATACGCATCTTCCATTTTACTTGTATGAATTGGTGTATTGTTTGTTTTCTATGTTTAATCTGGTCAATATGATTTGTTGTCAACACTTTGAGAACAATGTTATGGTTACAATGACCTCCCTAGTGTAAAGTATCATTTGGTACTGCAGTTTCTAAGATGTAAGACATCTACACAATAAGTCACATGGGCCTTCTGTCCTGGTTAGCTAACATTTTGACTTACATCACACAGTGGTTTACAAGTGACAACATTGTATGTTGCTGGGTCCCTCTCAACAAAACATGTTTCTGTGAGACACAGGGTACGTCTAACTGAGTCTGTATGGCGAGGAGTTAGCTTTTGCACAGTAAATTCTGTGTATGATGTCAGAGCTTCATCAGTGCTGAAATAAAAGCAAAATATCCCCAATTATAAGAGATTGTTGAATACAATTTGAATTCCTCATGTGGTATGTGTTGTCAGGTCAGGTGAGCTAATAGATCATGTGTAATGCCAGCCTAAATGTAACTCATTACAAACTTAACAGCAGAAGAATGGACGAGCTAGTTCAGATATTCAACACAACACAACATCTCACTGACCTCACTACAGACCTTAATACTGACCAAAGGGGCTTGTTATCAAACTCAACTTTCTTTTTGAGCAACTGCTCATAAACCAAATTCCATCTAAATGTTGTCGTTAGAATTTTAAAAGCAGATGAAGCCCATGTTTTGTGACCACTAAACACATCTTTTTCACTAAACGCATTCAGGTTAGATACATTCATATATCAGAAAGTTATGAGCGTGGCATATAACTTACTATGTTTATGTGTGACATTACATGTACCGATATTAGTATTGACCTGTGTTTGTTGAGTCATCTTTCCCAATCTGGCATGCTTCAGTCCAGTCATTTGCTGATCATTGACATGGACTCAAAGGTAGCCTACTCATTAGCATCGAGATGATCAAAACTGTAGAGCAGTCATCATATGTTTAACATGAGTCACATTAAATATTGATGGAATTTCAGTGAGTGTGAGAGTTTGGAAGGTGTATTGAACTGCAAATGGTGTAAAAAGTTGTAAAATCAAATGTATTGAGAGAATTGGACTTGGTTCTTTACTCAGAATGCAAACATTCAAGCAAATCCTTTGAGTTTTTGAGAACCTACATGGTATTACATAACTAATTCCACTTGTCTCAAATACTTTCTGTGAATATAAAGAAAGTCCTTCCTTGATGTATTAAGGATCAGGAATATTAGGTCAATTTTTATATACTTATCCTGCATTACATATTGCACATTGCTCTTACAAACGAGTGAACTACTAGGCTACCCCACTGACCCTTAGGTCTAAAAAAAATTAGAAAAATTAATGACATATTTAACTTATCCTGAATTACATATTGCATATTGTTCTTACTAACCAAGTCCTACCTAGAAATGAGTGGCGATCTAGTTGCGTCTTCGGGACTCTTTTGCCCAACATGACCTCTGTGACATCCAGGGTCGGAAGACACGCCCCCTATATGTCATTATCTCTTCTTGGTTACCAACGAAGGACATAAAAGACAGTCACTAACCTGATTTCTGAAGAATCTATCCTTTCAAGCCCAGGTGTTGGAAGGCACACACCCAATATGGCATTATTGCCTTCAAATGTCCCTCAGGACTGATGGTTGGGCTTGGAGAAAGATGTCTGTCATAGGAGGGCCCTTGGGTAATGCAGGATAAGTATATAAAATAAACATAATACCCTGATTATGGAATACGTTTAACTTATCCTGCATTACACATTGCACTTTATCTGACGGAAGGTGGCTTGTGCAATACCTTCAGTCCAGTGCTAGGATAGCTGTCACGTGTCAAGGCATCATAGAGTGGTCCTGTAGGTTGGGCTGGCCCGAGGTGGTTAGTCTCTGCTGCTCTTCGGCAGCAGGCATCTGCAACAGTAGCACATGTGAACGGCCTGACAACTTTCAGTTCTCTCAAGGAGACCTAGGTTCATTGTTGGATAACCGAGTCCAGAATTGGCGACCCAGTAAAATGGAACCGAAACCAAGAGCTTAGATAAACTGGGAATGCTTACTACAACTCCTCCCCTCCTCAAATCTGTGAACAGTCTGATCGGGGGGGGGGGGGGGGGGGGGGGGGGATGGGGGGGTGGTAGGCTGCATTGCTGGCTACTGTCGTTTTTTTGGCATGGCCATCTGCTGAGTGACCACCAATGGCCCAAAACTATGTACGGCATCCACATCTTCCACGGACATATCATAGGAGCTCATGTAGACAGTGGTAGAGCTCCAGAAGCACCCCCTGCATAATGGACTGGATGGAGCTCATGTAGACAGTGGTAGAGCTCCAGAAGCACCCCCTGCATAATGGACTGGATGGAACAATTTCTGTGGAAAGCCATGGTTTGAAGCCTGCGCCCAGATCTCATCGGGGCTGCTGGCCCTGGGCTGCTCCAATCCTGCTGTGTCATAAGCCTACAGGATTGTGGCTCTTAGCCAGAAGGAGATGATGATCCTGGATAATCTCTCCTTTATAAGTGAACTTCATGGTTAGACCAAGTTCTGGGGTATGCACCATGACCCTTTCCACAAAAGGAGTCCTTCCTGTCATGTCGTTCCTTGGCTGTTTTGGTGAAGTCCCGACGTAGCTGGTAAGCGTCTGAATGGACACTGAAATGGTCTTTCATCGGTAAGCGTCTGAATGGACACTGAAATGGTCTTTCATCGCCCTAAGGGTAGAAAGTGTGGCTTTTCTGTCCTCTGTTCTCTCCACTTGCTCAGCGACTGGGGCCATGGCGTTGATAAATAGAGTTGATGATGTCCATGGTTGGTTGATCAAGATCGCTTCAAAACGTGGATCCCATGTAGAAGCGGACAGGTGATCCTGTCTCCTTAGTAGAGTCAGACACTGCAAAAAAAATCCATCTATACAAGCTTGCATATCCTTTGGAATGATGATATTTCCAAAGCATATACAAGATTGGAATGATGATATATACAAAAATATACAAGTTTGTATATACAACATATACAAAAATATACAAATTTGTATATATGGTGTATCCAAATTTGTTTTCTTTGTATATATTGGTAAAGGGAGATAATTGTTATGTATTTGTGTGTAATTATTATATGTGCGAATTGAAGTGTTTTAAGTTGAGAACTGTGTTTCTTTGTATGTTGGTAAAGGGGGATAATTGCAATGTATTGTTCTATAATTGTTTTGTATGTGCAAAATAGTATCAGCAAGTTACAAAAAAACTGATAAAGTGGCGTGTAACATTACTGGGATGTTTAATTAATACTCCACACTGTTAGCGGGAGTACATACTCTCCTTGCAATGATATTGACGGGTAAGCGATTGAGGGGTCTGGTACTTTTCCTGGCGCGGTGCTTGGTATGTGAGTAGACTTTATGGTCAAATGCACAGAGAGGATAAGCTGTCGGGGGTGATTACATTGGCGGTGACTTCTGTATTGAAAGTGTTGAAATCGATTTGTGCTGAGCTTGGATTCGTTTGTACGGGGAGGCCGCGATGCTCTCATGCACATGGGAGATTAGCCAACAGAGTGGATTGCACAGAGGATGAAAACTATTTTATTATTAATTTAAAGTGTTGAATTTGGTTTGTTCTGAGCTGTCGGTTTAATTGTAGGGTATACATTGTTATAATGTCAAATCTCGGCGGAATGCGGAAGATCGCGTTTTTTAAAACGGCAGTCCTTGTAAAAATCCTCTTCAAAATATAATCAAAGATTTTTTTTTAAAATACTCAGAAAATATTGTATTGCCGGGAGAACCGTGGCAGATTGTCCTGTTTTTGAGCAGAGCTATCAGCATCAAACATGCCTTTATTATTATTCCTAACACAATCATGGGATCTTAAGTTTCCGGACATCATACGTTTTCTATCACAGAAATTGTTAATACTCCAATAATGACTTTTTTAATGGTAAAGTTGTCTTTTATAAGTGAACGAGATGTTTTACAGTTGTTCATGTGAAAAAACTATGAATGTGTATTCAGCGTCCGAAAACCCATAACACGGGGATTTATGTTGTATTAATGTCTTATGTTTTACAAAAGATAAGTAAGTACAGAGGTAAGCTTTTCTCAATATGCTTCAACAAGGGAAAAAGGACATTGCACGTTTATGGCAGTATTGCTCCAAGGTGGCAGCGGCATCCACTAATGCCTACATCCACTAATGCCTACAGTCTACAATAAACAAAGTCATGCACCAGTGATTTTCAACAACACCTGCTATCAGTGCTACCCAACCTCTAACTGGACAAGTCCACTTTAGTGGAATAATGCCTATAGGCGACAAAAGACAGAAAATTGTATGAAGTCACTTTTTATGTCACATTGCCATAACACTAACAGTAATAATTTATTTCTGCATCATTGCATTAGTTCTTATAGTATACACCAGCAGATATTTGCTGATTTCAAAGAAATCTAATATTGGAAGAGTTCATTCCTAGCATGGGTATGGTTTTTTTTCATTTTGTAGGCATTATTCCACACTGCTTTATTGTTTTGTAGGCAATAGTAACTGAAGGCAAAAGTGGACGTAGTCATTATTGGCTGGAACCCAGGTGGCCGGGTGCGCGGAAGCTATTCCCGATTTTTTAAAAGTACTGATTTAACTGCAATTTGAATGCATCCGCCATCTTTGATTATTTGACTTAAGCCACTGTTACATTTGTTGGTATGAATATTGTCCAAACGGTACGAAATTGCTTAAAATGCAATCAAATGTTTACAAACATTTCTGGGGGCTCAGCCTAATATCGTTAGCAAAGTCAACAAACTACGACCGTAAATGTAATGTACAACAGGCGCAAGAAAATTTAAAAAATTCTTACAAATACAAATGATAAGAAGTCGAATATGAATACTTATACTTGTACTTTTTGGAACAAAAAATTGACACATTGACGTACATGTATTCAGATTAAATTGATATTTTCTTTACTGTAAAAAATCTTCAACAGTGAGATACTCACAAGCAATCATATAATATATCGCAACTGATAGTTCTTAACAATCAGACCATCAACATTATGACGGTATCATCGTGGTATTTGAAGTTAAAAAAATGATAACACATGTCAGCAGTCAAGTAGAGTTATACACGGCATCTTGACAATGAACAAAAAGAAGAAGAAGAAGAAGAAGAGTTTATTAAAGTGTCACTATTGAAACAACCAACCATTTCGGCTTACGAGACAAAATACACATCACACCCCCATAGAAGTACCAAGAACACAAACATCCGCAAATTCAGTCACTAACCCACCCACATATATTATGTTACACGCCACGCCACGCCACGCCACGCCACGCCACGCCACGCCACGCCACGCCACGCCT